GTAACACTTTAACGAGTATCTAACCTCAGACTTTTTCAAACAAAATGTAACACTTAATATATGACTTTAGGCAACATTTTTTTTTATCTATATGCAACATATTTTCTATATTATTTTGCAACACTTATTATATTTTGTAGCAGTTTAATGAATATTTTAGCAACATTTTATTCAAATTTGGCAACACTTCTCTAGAATTATAAGCAACACCCTTACACTTAATATGCAACATTTGTATTAACCATTTTGCAACAAAATTTTAATAATTTTTGAGCTACACATTTCGAAATAAAACAACATGCTTGTAATAGAAAGAATTATATACAATAATAACAAATTTTAAAATATTCATAATCTATAATATAATGAAGAAATATCCAACACATCGTATACTAGAAATAACATCATGAACACATCTCGAAGAGTGTATCATAAACTAAAAAGTAACACTGTCAAATTAGAAAGAAAAGCTAAAATATCATAGAATACTTCTAATAGCAACTAAATATAAATTAGGAAGACATATAATATTATTTCTTCAACTCTATACTTCAAGTGAAGTTGGATCAAGATCTGGAACCACTGCAACAAGCTTTGTTAGAATCAAGTTCCTTTTCTGTTTCTCAATGTCACGCTCCTTGCACATTTGTTCTATTTCAGCATTCTTTTTCTCATTTTCCTTTACAAACTTCTTCCTCAATGTGCTCGATCATAATTGTATTCATATGGGTCTTCTCCTCCCTTTCCTTTTCTGTCTCTTCTCGCCACCTCTCATGTCGTTTAACAGGTGCATCGCTCGGTCTTCTACGCGCATGCCTAAACCACCGCAAATGAGACTTCTTCATCTTATCTTCTATAGGTGCTACTCCCACCTTTTGTCTGATTATCTCATTTCTCAAGCGGTGTTTTCTAGTATGTCCACACATCCAACACAACATATGCATCTCTGTCAAACTCTCCTTTTGAATGTGACATTGTTTCACTGCCCAACACTCTACGTAATACATTAATGCATGCCTAATTGTTGTTTGATTAAATTTACCTTTCACTCTAGTATGCATACCTCGGTCGCATAGAAATCCTGATGCACTCTTCCATTTCATCCGCCCAGCTCTGATTCTATGGGATACATTTCCATCTAATTCACGTTCTGAATTATGGAGCGCAAGTAACGAAACTTATCACACACTAGTATCTCCTCACCATCAAGAGTAATCCCACTGTTGCCACTACTTCTACTCCCACCAAACTTGCACTCCATATACTAAGTCTTGCTTCGGCTCAGTCTGAAACCCTTTGTCTCCAATTTTTGTCTCCATACTTCCATCTTTGCTTTAACACCCAATTGCGTCTCATCAATCAATACAATATCGTCATCAAACATCATGTACCACGATATATCTTCTTGGATTGACTTCATAAGTTCATCCATAACTATAGCAAATAAGAAAGGACGACTCAGAGATGATCCTTGGTGCACTCTGATAGTAATAGAGAACTTTGCGGTCCTCCTTACACTAGTACGGACACTTGTAGTACAAGCCTCATACATATCATGATGATACTGATATACTTACGTGATATGCCTTTTCTAGTTAAGGCCCACCAAAGGACTTCTCGCGGTACCCTATCATATGCCTTTTCTAAGTCAATGAACACCAAATGCAGATCCTTTTTAGTGTCTGTATACTTCTCCAGAACTTGTCTAAGAAGGTGAATGACCTCAGTTGTTGAGCGTCCAGACATAAAACCAAACTGATTCTCTGAAATTTTCACATTTTTCGATTTTTTTGCTCAATCACTTGCTCTCAAAGTTTCATGGTGTAACTCATAAGCATAGTCCCTCGATAGTTGACACATTCATGTACATTCTTGTACTCTTCCGCCAATACTTAAGATTATATATAAATATGTAATTTTTTATCTTAATCTACAATTAGTAGTTTTCTTTTTATGTGTTGTTAAAGTTAAAGGTACGTATATATCTTAGAATACTAAAATAAGAAAACAAAATAAAATGTTCGACGAATCTAGATGTCCTAGGCGGCCGATTAAGTGCTCTGAGCAGGTTACTAGGCGCCCTAGGCGGCCGACTAATTGAGCTCAGCGCCAAATCAATTAGTCGGGCGCCTAGACTAAAATCGGGGCGTCCGGCCACCATCTAGCCTATGGCGGGTTAGTTGGACACCTAGAGCGATTTTTTAAAAAAGTGGCTAAGATACATATGACAATGGCAGAGGTGCATATTGGATGAGTTTAGGCAGAAATCAATCGGATTTTGGACAATTCATATAGCACTTCGTCCAGATGTTATACCATGAGAGCAGTCCACGGTGAGTATGATGATCCCACAAGCAAAAACGCGTGTTACTGTTGACACGCGTGAACAATTACTTTGTTTTTTTCATTGTCCAGTAGCAGAATGATGTAACTCGTGTATAAAGAAATGTAACTCACGTTGATAAGAAATGTAACTGAAGGTTAGTCGAAATGTAACTTGTCTAATATGGATTATAAGAAATAAAACATTGATTTCAATGAAAACAAGGAGTCTAATTGCTCAATTAGTTATGAATATGTTTTGTTTTTAATATTAAGGCCATAAATAATATTTTTTTTATTAAAATCATTTTTTGCCAAAAAAAATCATTTTTTGATCATTAACAGGGGTTTTATATAGTGATGTAACTCACGTACATTAAGGTGCAACTCACGCACAAACGGATGTAACTAGCGCATAAGAACATGTAACTTCATGTAATATCAAATGTAAACAATGAAAATAAGGAGTTTAATTGTTCAATTAATTTACGCAAATAGTGAATATGTTTTTTTTAACATTAAGGTCATAAAAATATTTTAAAGAAAAATCATATTTTTGCCAAAACAATATATTTTTTTCCCAAAAAATCATTTTTTTTTTTGCATTTTCTTTTTGTTTCAATAGCATGAGTTTATTTTGTGATGTAACTTGTGTTATGAAAAATATAACTCTCATTGATGGAAAAATCTAACTTAAATGTATGCAAAATGTAACTTGTTGAGGCGAATCCATATGTAACTCGTGAATAGGAAGATGTAACTCACGCATAAAAAGATGTAACTCACGCATAAAAAGATGTAACTCCATATACTATCAAATGTAACTCCATAAATTTAAACATACATCATACATGTGAAGATGTAATCTCATATTTTATCAAATGTAAATCAAAATAAACATATATAATGTCTTAAAAACACTAAAAACATATAAAAGAGATAAAAAATATATTATAGGAAAAAGTGTATGCATATAAAAAATACGGAGTATATTACAAAAATGTGTATAATTCAAAAATTTTTACAAAAATAAAAATAGTGTATGAATGTGAAATGTAAGTACTTATTTTATTTAGATTAATATTACAAAAAGGTGTATGATACAAAAAAATATTAAAAAAAATGTATAATACAAAAAAATATTACGGAAATAAAATAGTGTATGAATGTTAAATGTATTATACTTATTTTATTTTATTTTTGTTATGATTTGATAAAAAAAAATAGACTGAGTTGTAATTTAAGTTGAAGATAAAGAAAATTAAAATTGTAAATACATTTATAGTATTTGATGGAAAAGAAAAACGAAATATAGAAAAGGAAAATAAAAAAAGAAGAAAAAAGAATAGGAAATAAAATACTCCCTAATAGAACTATTAAACGGGTTAAATGCGCCGAACCCCCTCGTGAAATATAAATTCGGCGCATTAGCCCCTGTGATTTAAAAAATGTGTCAAACCTCCTCGTGTTTTAATTAATCATGCGCAAAACCCCCTTCAAGAAAAAATTTTACAATTTTGAAACCACTTTTTGTAATAATATGGTTGAATATGCAAGTAACTTTGTCAAAATTTCTAAATTATACAAAAAACTAATCATTTTTCATTTTTTTGGAAATTAAATTTGTTCTTGGAGGGGTTTGGCGCATGATTAATTATAACACAGGGGGTTTGACGCATTTTTTAAATCACAAGAAGCTAATGCGTCGAATTTATATTTCACGAAGCGATTTGGTGCATTAAACCCATTATTAAACAGATCTCCCAAAGGCACAATTAAAAAAAGTTGAAATAACCGGAGGCTTGAGACGGTGGTGTTCTTCTGCAGAACGGCGGCGGCGACAACTTTCCAGACGGCGGCGGCAACTTGGCAGACGGCGGTCGCAGACGTGGCGGGCGGCTGAAGACCCATTGAGCAACTGGTGAACAATAGATCGAAGACAGAATGTGCTAGGGCTTCCTGCGGAAGAAGGGCACGTCTGGCAACAGCTGAAGTTTTTTTGCTTGAATGGCAAATTTGGAAAGTTAGAAATAGGTTTCCTAATCTGGAACTAAATAAATAATATGAATGGAAAAAACATTAGCGGGTATTATTTTTGTAAAAGAGCTATGATTTGGTCCTACTAGGAGCAAATTTCTCCTACGTAATTACGTATTAGCAAAAGGGTCACTCTTAAAAGAAAGAAAATATGGAGAATTATCAAATAAGCCTTCGAGCTTTCATAAAAAGTGGAAATAAGCTCCTTTATAGGAGGCTTTGTCCAGCCGTCGCCATTTGGGGCGGTTTCCGGTGACATTTTTTGTTGAATCTTTTTTGGTATCTTCTTCATTAAGTCTAGTTTATTCATACCAAATTTCAGCTAAAAATTCAATCGGGAAGGCATTCAAATGAATTTTTGAAAATAACTGCGCAATTAGACAACACAATATATTTCAGAAAATCATTTGACTGCTTTATCGATTGAATTTTTAGCTGAAATTTGGTTTGAGTAAACAAGACTTAATGAAGAAGATGCTCAAAAAATTTAATAAAAAAATTCCACCGGAAACCACTTCAAATGGCGACAGCCAGACAAAACCTCCCCTAAAGTTTTTATTTGCACTTTTTATGAAAATTAGAGTATGATAATTCTCTCTATATTAAAATATGGTGCTGTTTAGTGTAATTTCCCGATTTTAGGTTTCCTAACCCCGACGGAAAGGACCTTAGGACAATATATACTAACCTAACCTCAATTTCAATTCATAAAAGATCTACTACAGTAGTATTTTGTGGATCTATTTATCCGAACGCATCATCAAAACTTCCCTCTCCCTCCATCTTCTGTGTGGACTGAGCCTCACCGGAGCTATATAAACACCGATTGAAAATGGAAACAGTCGGTGTAGAGGAGACCCGCCGCGAATCGGATAGAGAGGAGAGCTGTTCTGCTAAGCTGGCGAAGCAAGGCGAAGGCCTGAGGCAATACTACATGCAGCACATCCACGATATCCAGCTTCAAGTCCGCCAAAAGTCTCACAATCTCAACCGTCTCGAAGCTCAACGCAACGGGCTCAATTCCAAAGGTCAGCTTTTAAAGTTCCCCGTTTTGAAAACATGGAACCCTATAGTCATATAACCTATATTATGATTCATAATTAATCAGCATTTCGGCATATAGATGCAGAGCCTCCAAGGTGTGGTTATAGTTGCGATCTTTGTGTTCGTATGTAGTATCCCCTTGAATTCTAAAATCAACTGTACTGGGTATGGCTATGACTAATTGAGGTTGTAAGCGCGATTTCGGCCAGGTCTAGTTTGGTAAACTGTAATAACATTACTGTCACGTAGGACTGAGGTTATTTTAAAAAACCCAGTCAAGTATCAAATTAGGGTTCTTTTAAGGATCCAGCATCATCTCAAAAACTTATGGCACCTTTCCTTTTTGTACCATCTTTCAGTACTGTTCGGTATTGGGCTGCTTTTTGGTACATTCGGTTCTTATGAACATGTAATTAACATATATAAGTCAATAGTTGAACATCGAAATCTAGAAAGTTTTATTTTTTTATAAAATGAAATAACAATGGAGCAAAAGTAAGAGTGTTCATTAACTTGACTATTAATAGTCATAAACTGAAAAACAAAAGTAATAGCAAAAGCATGACATATAAAAGCAATTTAATAGTCAACATTTAGCCCTTTGCCTGTTTACTGGAACCACTAGTTCTCACTCTTGATGATTGTATACAGTGGGGCGGAAACTAAACTAGAGCATAATAACAATAATCACATACAGTAAAAGCTCTAATTTAGGGTTGGGCTGAGGGGGTATGGACACACACACACACATAACTGGTTTAGGTACTGTTTGGCCGCATACGGTTGTGGGATGGCTCTCACCAAAGAACCGGTACCATAGCATATTATTAACAGAAATCAATCCGGTCTGGTGTTAATTTTTTTGGTACTAGTACAGATTGCTAGGGTTCTCCAGTTCTGCGCTCAGATCTATTGATATGTAATCTAAATACATGTGTAACATCAATTTACGTCACACTTATAAGTTATATTTGACTATCATAGTTTAAAATGCACGCATTAGGCGTGCCTAGGCGCAAGGCGTGGAGGAGGGACATAAAAATCTCATCAGGAAAGCTGAGATTAGGTTTATCAACGTGTCCTGTGGGCTGCGGCTATACAATTCTCTTATATGCAGTATTTAAATAAGGTGTCATGTACTTCTCAAAGAGTCAGAGTCAAACTCAATCTCTTCTTCTTTATCAATAAGTCATTCTTCCGGTCTTCCTCTTCTCTCTGCGGCTGGGCCCACAGTATTCGCATATCAGGTTTCTCTCTTTCTCGAGTCTCCCAAGTTATTTTTTCTCCGCTCTTCTTCGACTTCTCTTAACCGGTTACTGTATTACCTCTTGAGTTAATATGATATTGTTCTGCTTCTGCATATGTATTCTGCTCATGAGTTAATGCTATGTCTCTTGCTAATGTTTAAAGTATTTATTCTTTCTTTTGTGACTTATTTTGGTGTTTACTATGTTTTTTAATGACTTGTAGTATTTCTGTTGTATTATCATTATTTTTTAGTAGAAGGTAACATGTAGTTGTTGTTGTAGGCTCGGATGTTGTTGTTGTTGTTGTTGTTGTTGTTGTTGTTGTACAAGGTATCATGTAGAAGTAATACCAATATAGTATAGCAAAGTCACTGAGTTCCAAGAGGTGTGCGCCTCGGTTAAAATGAACAAAAATGCTTCATACCACCTCACGCCTTTTAAAACCAAGTTGACTATGTTACATTACATTTTACAAAACCTTGCATTGGAGTATATATTGTCCACCAAGTCACTGAGTTCCAAGGATGTTGTTGTTGTTGTACAAGGTATCATGTAGAAGTAATACAAATATAGTATAGCAAAGTCACTGAGTTCCAAGAGGTGTGTGCCTCGGTTAAAATGAACAAAAATGCCTCATACCACCTCACGCCTTTTAAAACCAAGTTGACTATGTTACATTACATTTTACAAAACCTTGCATTGGAGTATATATTGTCCACCAAGTCACTGAGTTCCAAGGATGTTGTTGTTGTTGTACAAGGTATCATGTAGAAGTGATACAAATATAGTATAGCAAAGTCACTGAGTTCCAAGAGGTGTGCGCCTCGGTTAAAATGAACAAAAATGCCTCATACCACCTCACGCCTTTTAAAACCAAGTTGACTATGTTACATTACATTTTACAAAACCTTGCATTGGAGTATATATTGTCCACCACAGGCTGTCTGGCTGTGTGATGTTTACTTGGTTATACGAAATTGTAAATTTACGTTATTTGTGGTCCATGTTCAGGAGGAATACTCGAGACTCTAGCTGTGGAAACTTTGGTCACTTTTAACTTTTCGCCACGATGAAATTAAAGTGGTTGAATAAAAGCAATGCTGGTTTTTATGTAGTTCGTTGTGTAGACTGTAGACTCATTTCATAGGGTTTTCTTCTCCTGTTCTTTTGCAGTAGTTTTTTGCTACATCATTGCAGAACCCTTTATAATGTTTATTGTAAATTTTATATTTTGTTTTAAAATGGAAACTGACATTCTTGTTTTCTTCATTTGAATAGTGAGAAGTCTGAAGGAAGAATTGCAGTTGCTTCAGGAACCCGGGTCTTATGTTGGTGAAGTTGTAAAAGTGATGGGGAAATCAAAAGTTTTAGTGAAAGTATGTTACTTCTAATTGTTATTACTTGTATTTATTAACAAAGTACATGTAAATCATATACGCGCATTATTTGACTCTGGTTTTTGTTCTGCTATTCAGGTCCATCCTGAAGGGAAATATGTTGTTGATATTGATAAAAGCATTGACATAACAAAAATCACTCCAACTACCAGAGTTGCTCTTCGCAACGATAGCTATGTTCTTCATTTAGTTCTACCAAGTAAAGTGGATCCTTTAGTCAACCTTATGAAAGTTGAAAAAGTTCCAGACTCTACTTATGATATGATTGGTGGCCTCGATCAGCAAATCAAAGAGATCAAGGAAGTTAGTACCTTTTACATATTATTTAAGTGCTTCTTGGTTTACTAAGTTTGTATGTTTCCATCATTAGTCCTAAAGCAACACTATCTTGTGATTCTTGTCTTATATTAATTCCACATTTGGTTCTCTATTTGTCCAAATCCAGGTTATTGAGCTTCCTATTAAACACCCTGAGTTGTTTGAAAGTCTTGGGATCGCTCAGCCAAAGGTATATGATGTTCTTCCCTAGCATGCCACAATATATGATCTTTGTACTGATGGTCAACCTATAAAAAATAGGGAGTCTTGCTATATGGTCCCCCAGGAACAGGGAAAACGTTGCTGGCTAGGGCAGTTGCTCATCACACTGATTGTACCTTCATTAGAGTTTCTGGCTCCGAACTAGTGCAGAAGTATATTGGTGAAGGTTCTCGTATGGTGAGAGAACTTTTTGTTATGGCCAGGTTGGTTCTTTACTCTTGTCATGAGATATCTATGAAACATTAGCCTCCTTAAGCTATCGTTAGATGGTGTAAAAAATTGAATAAAGAAGAGAAGTTTTTGAAAATGTATGTCTTATGCATTAAGTAGTACGGAGTATTAGTAAACATTAATGTCTTCCTTTTATGCTAGGATCCCTCGAGTGTATTTTCCTTAGGGTTTGTTTGGAATGAAAAAGTACTAGTAACCAAGCTGGTTGTGAGGTTACCATGCTTAGTGGGAGGTCTCGAGTTCGAATCCAGCTAGGCACATAAGGGTTTGAAACTCAATGGAGTGAGTTTCAGCCCTCATTACTCCAGGCCCCCCAGCCCCCCTCCCCCAGATCCCCTGGAGTAAAAAAAAGTATACAACACTAAGGAGAAATTTGGAAGGAGTTAAAATTAGCAAGGAAAAAGAATTGGTTCGAATTCAATATATATATATATATATATATATTTGCAATTGATTGGAATCAGTTTTATTTATTGGTTCTCATTATTTGTACACTAAGAAATCTAAACATCTTCTAAAAATATTAAATCATATTTCATATTTTTTTTTGCATTTTCTGAGATGAAACCAAAACACAGAAAAGTAACTTTCCTCTGCATTTTCAACGATCCAGCATTTTTGAAAAGCTTTGTTAGACCTGATGGGAAACTTGAAGTTGTTATTTAGCAACAAAAATAAAAATAAGAGATGGATAAACAACTTCTGTGAAATTGTTAATTTATTGAGAAAAGAATCAGATGTGGAAGAAATCTAAAAATTTATTGAAACATCATGAATCATGCTTCTTTTTATTTGCCTCTATTTTAGCAGTTAAAAGCATTGTATGGAAGTTGTTGATAATTTAAATTGTGAGTAGCATATTTTAATTATTTGGTTCTCCCAAAAATTTAGGGAGCTTTCCCTATTTATTTTGGAGTAAAACACAGGAGTTTTCCCATAATTTATTTACCCTCTAAATAGAAGTAAAATACTGCCAAATCATACTGCCATGCTGATATAGCACTGACATCATGATACTACCATATATGGTACTGACATATTGAAAAAATAGTACTTGTGTTTTTAGAGAACACCTATGTTTCACTCTTATGTAGAGTAATTTCTTAAAAAAATATTTGATTTACTGCCCCCCAAAAATTATTGAGTGTAGAAAAAAGTCTTGTATTTTATCTTCAGACATTTCTCGCACACATTATCTCCCTTTGTTTCACTTATAATGCACTCTTGTGCTGTCTTTTTTTGTTGCATGACAGAGAGCATGCTCCATCTATTATATTCATGGATGAAATAGATAGCATTGGATCTGCAAGAATGGAATCGGGAAGTGGAAATGGTGATAGTGAGGTGCAGCGCACAATGTTGGAGCTTCTTAACCAGCTTGATGGATTTGAAGCATCAAACAAGATTAAGGTAATTTTTCCGAGCTGAGATTGTTAGAGATCTCCAACAATCCAAACGATTAACAGAAATTTAACAAGAAACAAAGGAATTTTATTGATGAAGAAGAACAAGATCAGTAATCGTAACAATAAACTGGCCGAAGCCCCCAATGAGCCGAAGCCCCCCAAAAGAAAGAGAATATAATCTCAGTCTTCCCAAGTCCCAAGACACAGTCTAAAAACAGCCTCCTCCCAATTTCTAACTGTAGTCTATTTATAGTCAGGAAGGCTAGCCCCCGGTAGTTATTAGCTCATAACAAACTAGACTAATAACAGACCCTATTTCTTTCTAAAATACACTTTATTAGAGTATTTATCTTCTTTTCTTCAGTTTAGTAAAGTCTCTATCAAATCTCCCCTCCTGAAAATCCAACTTGCCCTCAAGTTGGAAGGGTGGAATTTGTTGTCTGATGCCCTCAGGTTTCAATTCCATCTTCTGCTTCCTCTTCATCCTGATGCTTCGTCCTTCCCAATATCTCATTAATTTCTGATAGATGAGCTTCATTACTTGATCTTTCCAATTCACATATGTTACTGCAACATATATTGTCTCCGGTGAACTTTCATTCTCTTCAGTCTTCAGGTCTTCAATGGCTACAATTATTTTCATGCTTCCCTGAAGTATAACACTTACAACGGTAGCAGAATTTGTGTTTTTGTCTTGAACATCATGATTCTCATCCTCTTTAATCTGCTCATCAAGAATTTTTGAACTACAAATTGCTTCCACTCCAGTTGACTTTCCTCCCATTGAATTATGACTGACAACCATGATGCTTTTCAGTAAAACAATGCCACCCTCTGCCACACTTTGAGTACTCCCCATATCATTCCACCATACAACTTCCATAGAAATTCCCCACCAAAAACTCTCTGCAACTGTACATTTCTCAAAGGGAAAGTCCATTTTCACCTTGTGCCTTGAAACAGATAGTGGAAGACCCCAGGTTATTTTTAAAATGGCACAATCTTTGCTACTATGAAGCAACACAAAAACCAAGCAACACTTTGCGGCTGAGAATACAAAGTCAGCTCCTGCATCAACAAGTACATCATCCCTACTTCTTTGGTTCCATCCTTCCTTGTCAGATGAAGGAAGTTCATATTTTTTAAAAGCATTCCAATCTTTGCAGCTATTCTTCAGGCTGGAGAAATCATGAAACATAGGATCCAAATTGATGTAGCCGCATCCTTTGAGAATTTTCCAAAAAGAAATTCTACGATCGGAAAAGAATAACCCTCCATTTCCCTCCGCAATCCTCTCCTTCCCTTGAGATATAGGATTTGACTTCCCAGTCTGGTATTTCTTGACTTGAATGTAGTCACCAATTGAATGGCTACGCTCAAGGGACAGCAGCATATTGGTTTCCAATTCTGAATTAACTACTTCGTACCTGGAAGTGTTATTACAAATGAGGAAACGAGTAATTGCTCCATCTTCCAGTCTAAGATTAACTGAAGATTTCTTCTTGCTTTCCTCTTTGCCATAAGTGTGTGTATCCTCCGTGGGCTGTAGTTGCTGATTGACCAACTTCTGCTGCGACTCTGGGGACTCAAATAGAGATTGCGAACTAAGGTTTTCTACTTGAGTCGAAGCCAGAGGACCGGAAGAAATCTCCTGCGACTGAGACAAACCTCTGTTCTTCGAATTTATACAGTGACGTACCGTCCTTGACCTTCCTCGCCGACGTTGTTTCAGCAGCTTGGGCTTCCCCTTCTCCATGTTTGAAGGCTTTTCTTTCTCCACTTTTTCGCTCTTCTTTTCTCCACTTTTTCGCTCTTCTTTTCTCCACTTTTTCGCTCTTCTTTTTCTCCATTTTTTCGCTCTTCTTTTTCTCCACTTTTTCGCTCTTCTTTTTCTCCATCTTTTTGCACTTCTCTTTCTCCATTTTTTCGCGCTTCTCTTTCTCCACTTTTCCTCGCTCAACCTCTTCCGCGAGCTTCCCCAGTTTTCCGCGCGAATCCTCTCGCGAGTGCGAAACATCCTTATGCGACTTGGTGAGCGACTGAGATGGATGATTTCTAGGGTTCTCCGCTTGACGTGCGATGTTACCACTCTCTCCCTGATCGCAATTTCTTGCGTGTCCATGGTGCGCAGTACTTGATCTATGCGAATGACTCCTCGAGATTCTGATCTGCAAATCTGCGACGCTAGCTTGCATCGCCTCTTGCATAGCGGCCATCATCGTCTTCATCTTTTCTTGCGACGCGACCATACTCGCTTGTGTCTCCCTCATAATTCTGTCAATATTATCAAAACTCTCTTCCATTTTCGGTGTCAAGTAGAAATCCTCCTTCATGATTCAGATTCTTTGTCTCCAGGATGTAACAGCTCTGATACCAATGTTAGAGATCTCCAACAATCCAAACGATTAACAGAAATTTAACAAGAAACAAAGGAATTTTATTGATGAAGAAGAACAAGATCAGTAATCGTAACAATAAACTGGCCGAAGCCCCCAATGAGCCGAAGCCCCCCAAAAGAAAGAGAATATAATCTCAGTCTTCCCAAGTCCCAAGACACAGTCTAAAAACAGCCTCCTCCCAATTTCTAACTGTAGTCTATTTATAGTCAGGAAGGCTAGCCCCCGGTAGTTATTAGCTCATAACAAACTAGACTAATAACAGACCCTATTTCTTTCTAAAATACACTTTATTAGAGTATTTATCTTCTTTTCTTCAGTTTAGTAAAGTCTCTATCAGAGATGAACACAAATATAGTGAACAATAGTTTTTTTTTTTAATTTGAACTATATGGACTTCTGCACTAAGTTCTGAAGAAAGAAAATAAGGAGGTAAACTATGGAGAGAAATCATGTTCCTTTGTTTGGGAAGGAAGGAAAACAAATCTTATTTTCCTTCTCTTTTTCTTGACATTGGAATTTGGAAGGGACATTCACTACTTGTAAAGACTACTTATCTTTTTTATAAAAGTAAGATTACATAAATATTTTCTGGTTCCTTTTTTTGTTTACATACATATATTGCATGTATTTAATAGGGGGGATGAAAAGATGTCATAGTCATCACCCCGTGTAAGAATATACACAAAAAATGCACCCTTATTGTGTATGATTTGGCGGTTAAAATTCCCAAAACATTACAACTTTAATTCTTCTATAACCAATAATTCAAATAGTAAAAATAGATTTATTGGCTTCCCCTTCTTGGTTTACCTCATTCCAAACACAAGGAGGGATAGTGAGAAAGGATAATAAGTAATAACATTCCTCTTTCCTTTCTTATCTCTCTATTCCAATGGAAAATTTCCAAACCCAGCTATAACTCATTATTTTACATTCTCCAGGTGTTGATGGCCACAAACCGTATAGATATTCTTGATCAAGCGCTTCTCCGGCCAGGTAGAATTGACCGGAAGATCGAATTTCCAAATCCTAATGAAGAGGTCTGAGATTTTACCATTTCTTACCGTTTTGCCTTTCTATTTGCCAGTAGCAGTGAGCGGCCTTACCAGCTAATATTTTTTACTTTTCTTTCAATCTTTTACTTTTAAATACTCTGTATGTTTTTTGGGGATGGGGAGTTAAGAATCTTCATTGCATGCCTTGGATGTTGTTTCAAGAAAGATAAACTAAATTTGTTTTTGATTCACATTGATTCTTCCCTTGTCAGTTATTATAGAAACTGATGTCACTATTATATCTCTAGTCTCGCTGGGATATCCTGAAGATTCATTCAAGGAGAATGAACTTGATGCGTGGCATAGACTTAAAAAAGATTGCAGAAAAGATGAATGGTGCTTCAGGGGCTGAACTTAAGGTGAGTTAGCTTAGCTTTCAACATAATGGGCTGTTTTGTCCATTTTTCATATGAAAGAAGCCTTTAGAGCAAATCTAATACGTAGTAGTTGATTTGGAGGACTTGCTTGCATGTAGAACAAATAACTTACCATTAGAGCATTTCTTTTCGTTTCTCTTGTTAAAGCTAGTTTTCCAAAAGAAGCTACTAGCCTACTAGCGTGGACAAAAAGAGTTACTAAAAATAAGGATAATGTTCTTAATAATAAATCAAGGGGAAGTAGTTGCATCTTTTATCTTGAAAATAGTTATGTTTAAAAAAATTAGTAAAAAATGTTACTAAAAATAATAATAATGTTAATAATAAATCAATAGGAAGAGTTTTTACCACTTTTGGTCCTCCGACTATTATGTCATTGACACTTTTGGTACTCGACTTTGTTTTTCCCACTTTTAGTCCTCGACTACTGTGTTAGAGACACTCTTGGGACCTTTGAAAACTTTCATATTTAGTCTTTCGACTTTTATAAAGTTGACACTTTTGGTCCTTCAACTATTATATTAGCGACATTTTTAGTCCTCCACTTATTGTGTCAAAAACATAGTGGAAGTACTAAAAGTGTCAATTTGATAATACTCAGGGACTAAATGTGGGGAACTTTTAGGTTGAGGACTAAAAGTGTCTCTAGCACAATAGTCGAGGATTGAAAATGGAAAAATTTGAAAGTCGAGTACCAAAAGTGTAACTTACACAATAGTCGGGGGACCAAAAATGGAAAAAACTCTCAAGAGAAAGTAGCCGTAGCTTTTCTCTTCCTTTTTGCTCCTGTTTGCTGTGAAAGAAGTGACGATGAAAGGTCAAGTAATGAAGGTCGTGACCAAGCAATCTGGGATGTATTGGGAAGGGAAAGGTGCAAGAATGAAATGGAAGTGGAAGATCATGGCTGATTCCTATCACCCACCTTGAGGACAAGGTGGTTATTTAAGGGGAGAGTATTGATAGGAATCTGGCTTAGTAGGCTAATAATAAGAAATAATTATAATAGTAAGTGTACTTGTAGTAGTATAAATAGAAGGGGAAGGGAGGAAATAGGTAGGCAAGTATTCATTTGGATTTGGATAGGCTAGAAGATTGGGCATCTCGAATTGTCTAAGGCTACATATTCCGTCCGTAAACTACGATTCACATCAATAAAGATTTCTTGATCAATTCTTCATAATTCTCTACTTTTGTGAGTCGGATTTGCCTAGTTCTATCAACGCTAGTCGGGCACCTAGGTGGGGACTAGTCAGAGACATGGAAATTATAGTTTTATCAATATTTTTACATAAATATGATGAGTGATGTTGTGTTTGTGTGTGTGTAAAATACACGCATACACACTAACATGCATGAATGATAGTGTTGTAACATTAAACATGTATACTTGTTATCTTAATCTACAACTAGTAACTTTATTCATAAACGTTGTTAAAGGTACATATATCTCTTAGAATTCTAAAATAAAAAAGAAAAATAAAATGTTCGAAGAATCTAGATGATTAGGCGGCCTATTAAGCGCTTTGGGCAGGCAACTAGGCGCCCTAGACGGTCGATTAATTCACCTAGACGCCAAATCAATTAATCAAAGCGCCTAGACTAATATCGGGACGCCCGACCACCACCTAGCACCTAGGCGGGGACTAGTCAGGCGCCTAGAACGGTGTGTGGCTCTAAATCATTCTTACTTTATTCTTAATTTACCAATTCAATATCAACCACATAAATTCACTTTTCTTAATAACCGTGTCACCTCCTCATGTCCCAATGTTACTGGGACGGAGGTAGTTTGTTAAAAAATGTTGTCGTGGATAGTCAAGCTACAAGGATGACAGTTGCATATGCTACGATGTTCTTTCCATTTCCCACATTTACCTGCATGAAAGTTGGGTAGGTTTATGCAATTATTATAGCAGGTTGGTCAGAACATGTGAGTGAAGGACGTTGGGAAAGAAAATGGAGGGACAATAACGATAATAGGAGAATGCATAGGCGTAACTAAGGCTATGCTGTTGTATTTATTTCAGCCAATAATAATGATGTACTTTCTTTTAAAAAATGTATGTATGTAGGCTGTTTGTACAGAAGCTGGGATGTTTGCCTTGAGAGAAAGGAGGGTACATGTGACACAAGAAGATTTTGAGATGGCGGTTGCGAAGGTGATGAAGAAAGATACAGAGAAAAACATGTCTTTGCGCAAGCTATGGAAGTGATTCTAAGCCCTGAAAACCCGTCATCTTGTGCTGACATAGTAATACCCCGGGTGATTTATAGCATTTGCGTATTCCTTTTCGAACCTCAACAACATGCATTTAGATCTATGCATTTAGATCTTTACATTCTCTCTAGCTGAATCTTCTTTTTTAAATGTAAAATTTGTGATTCGTGATTTCCTCAAGTAATAGGTGTCATACTTTTTAAATCTTGTGTTTTCACTAATCCATAGCAATTATGCATCCTCCGACAACATCTTTTGCAATGTGAATTATTTCATCGTTATATAATCGTAGGCTGTTTTTTTTCCTGGCTGCACACATCTAGGGAAAGAAGACGCGAACTAATATGGATGATGGAGGCAAAATTAATAAGGAAATACGACTTAGGGAGTTAGGGTAAGGGTTTAGGTTAGAACTAGAACCATAATAGGTAAACAAGTTCTTGCTTATTGTTAAGATTTCTCGCCTTTTTCCACACAAAACTAGGGTAGGCAGTTTAGCCCGAAAACTGAATTCAAAAAACTGAATTGTGAATTTGAAAAAACTGAACTGAACAGCTGAACTGATGAAACTAGGCAAAAATCCGGATACGCAAAATAATTGGTTTAATTTCTGTTCATTTACTCAGAAAGTCGGTTTGAACTTGACCAAACCGAAAAATTTATATTAATATTAAAAGAAATTATCCAAAATTAGACTAAAACATTGGCAAAACTCCAAAATAGGAGTATAAGTTTATTATTCCCTTAATAAGATTCTGGATTACATTTTTGCCCTTGTACAATTAAACCTACTCGGCTCACTCTTTTCCACATTACATTCGGCCGATTGAATATCAGTCCTCCACTCCTCCAACTGGGATTGAACTCCTCTTAGCCTCTTGGCAATCCTGCCGATGCCAATCACCCGCACCAATTTCTCTGGCGGAGACAGGTAATCTTCTCCAATTCCTTCTTCCTCCTCCTCTCTTCTTCCTCCTTCTTCCTCCTCCTTCTTCTTCATTCTTCTTCTTCATTCTTCTTCTTCATCTTCACACCCTCTTCCTAGTGATCTGTTTTTTTTATTGTCGTGATTTCTTTTTATTTCTTGTTGACTTTTTTAATTGAATAAAAAAACCTATTCCTGATTTGTTAACATTTAGATGAAAAATTAGGTTCCATCGCTTGATCGATTGTGGATTTCAATTTTATTTATTTATTTACCAATTTTGATTAATTATGAATCTTAGAATGACATAATTACTAGTACTTAATAATAAAAATGTCACTGCATTACATCTATAAAGATGACAATATTGCTTTGAAATTACAAAAATGTCATGTTTTTGTCAGATTGACAAAAATGTCACTTTTGAATAACAGAATGTCATAATTATTGGTTATTTGAAATAAATGTCACTTTTAAGTCAATATATTTTGAAGATGGCAATCTCAAAAAAGTCATGTTTTTGCCAGACCGAAATCTAAGCGCGTGTACAACCGCCGTATAATCGATTGATGTCACCCGCAGGTCAACCTCACTTAATCATACAAGGCGTTCGAGAAAACAATCCATCCATACTCAGTAGTAAACATACATAACAAACATCACAATTAAACCCTTGCATAGCGGAAATATTCAGCGGTAATTCATAGGCCACATTCGGCCAATAACATGGGCATGCAAGCCCAAAATAGTTTATAACAAATAAAAATATCCATGAGCAGTGTTTGGTAATTTGAAAGAAAACGATGAAGCACGAACCACGTCTTCCTAGATTTGATGTCACCCGTAGAAAGGTGCAGGTAGCAAGCCCTAGCTTCAACCTGAAAATGGTGGGCCCCCCGAAGGGGTCAGTACAAGTACTGAGCGAGTAGCAGGCTAAATATAGAATAACTAGTGTTTCAAGTATAAGACCCGAACGTAGGGTGATACTTATATAAATAGTCCTTTCCTCCAAGTTAAGAAATACTTAATAGTATATATACACTTGGAAAATACCCGATCCGTAGATCACCATTTTATTTGGGGAAAATAGTAATAACCAATATTCTTGACTAAAAACTCCAACCCACCATATACCTATGAGTGTATAGGACTCCTCCTTGTCCATATTTCAACATCATAATCTATGAGTTTTGAGGATCAAAATCCTTGGGTACTCTACCAATTTATATTTGAGTGTTAAGGACTTTTAGTCCTAGGGTCCTCCATCAATTTATTATCCGAGTGTTAAGGACTTTAAGTCCTAGGGTCCTCCGTCAATTTATAATCCGGGTGTTAAGGACTTTAAGTCCTAGGGTCCTCCACCAATTTATAATCCGAGTGTTAAGGACTATAAGTCCTAGGGTCCTCCACCAATTTATTATCCGAGTGTTAAGGACTTTAAGTCCTAGGGTCCTCCACCAAAGTATGAGTGTTAAGGACTTTAAGTCCTAGGGCCCTCCACCAAAATATAATCCTATGATCAACCTCCTATCAACCTAGATAGGATCTATATCATATCTATTCATTAATAGCTAAATCAATATATAAAGCTTTTGGATCACAATCCATGCAAAACCATGCATTTATTTAAATTTATAATTAACTAATATCAACCGGTATTAATTAATCTATTATCCATCGGGCAACATTTTCGTTGACCGCCATTTCAAGCCTTGTACATATCAACTTAATCATCATATATATTAAGTTAACAATATTCATTTTATACCTCCTTTACCTTTCAAACATAGCATGCAATTTCATAGAAATTCTCATATCATATTCCATGCATATTCATGTACTTCATTTCATACATGCCTAATCATTTTGGCTAATCACATGTTTAAATATCCTTTAAACATCATTATGAATACATATAACATTTATTTAGGTAATCTCATAATTAACCCAAAAGTTATAAGATATTAAGCCGTCCACTGACCTTAAATGAGCCTTAGCGTGTTCTACGCTCCTCGGTTGAACTCCGGCGAAACTCCGTCGGACTTCGGTGAAACTCCGGCGAACTCTAGAAATACTTGGGTCAAGCTCCTAACATGATTTTATCATCATAAAACCCATTACAACACAAATAATCTCTAAAAGGTTATTTTCCGGCGAACCGATCGTTTTGGCTTCTAAGTCCGTTCTTGGACTTAGAACCACCTTCCAAACCATTATCTCACACTTTTATCATATGATATACGTTCCATATGGTAGAAGAAAAAGAGAAAATAGTTATGATAAAGTCATTACCTTAATCCTTTCACACTTTTAGTGCTTTTGCTCCTTTTCTTGAGATTCTTTCTTGTAAGCTCTCTTCAACAATGGAGGAGGAAGGATGAAGAACTGTCTTGCTCTTGCTTGGGGTGTGCTGGACGTAGGAATGAGGGAGAGAGGGATGGGGATGAGCTTTTGTCTCATTAATCCAATGAGTGTAGAATGGGGATCCACCTTAGGTACCTTTGATGCCATTTCCTTCATATCACAATCCCCTCCCCATATTTCCCTATCCCACCGGCCGTCAATCACTCTCCTTGAGTGTCCAAATTCGTGGGTTGGCCCCCACTCATGTGGGAGGTCAACCCTTTTTTTCCGAAGTGTACAATCGGTCCCGAAAGTTATATTTTTCGGACTGCTTTAATCATATTTTATTTTATCGGGTAAAATAAAATATATTACGCGTTCCAAATCGTAATGGCCTCTTGAAATAATATATGTTCCAAAACATTAATTTAGAAGTCTCCGAAATTCATTTTCGGGCTGTTATATGTTAAATTGTCGGTACCGGTATTCAGGCCTCTTTTGCCCAATCGGTCAACTCTGGGCCTTTCCACGACCCAACTAAAATATCCACCATCATATAAATATTATCTTCACCAAGATGAATAAAACATGTGGTCTCGGGAAAGTTGGGTGGTCCCCGCCCCCGATGTGGGTCCCACGTGAAATTTACTATTCACGTAAAAGAATTAATAAAAATTTACAACTTCATAAATTCATTGATCATTCCATAGTGTTTAATACATTGTTTACTAAAAGTAAATATAATTTGGGGACGGTGTTACTGTAACACCGACCCCGAGCATATTTACTTTTAGTAAATTATGTAATAAACCTTGAAGGATGATTTATGAATTTGCGTAATTGAAAATTTTTATTATTTCTTTTACGTGAATAGTAAATTGCATGTGGGGCCCACAGCGGGAACGGGGACCGCCCGATAATTCCCGAACCACATATTATATTCATCTTGGTCTAGATAATATATATATGGTGGTGGATATTTTATTTGGGCTATAAGAAAGGCATGGAGTTGACGGGTTGGTCAAACGGGGCCCAATTACCGGTATTGGTAATTTAGCGGATAACAGCCCGAAATGAGTTTCGGGGAATCCTAAATTAATGTTGGGGAATGTACATCGTTTCTAAAGGCCCAAAATTGTTGGGAACGCGTAGTATATTTTATCCGGCCCGATAAAATAAAATATGACTAAAGTAGTCCGAAAAATACAACTTTCGGGGCCAATTATACACACCGGGACATAATGGGATGACCTCCCACATAAGTGGGGGCCACCCCACGACCCAAGGTGCTGCAAATGACAAGGAAACAACAGGGGGGTGTACCTAGTAGGTGGGAAGTCTCCAAGAGACAAAATCCCATACCCCCATGTCCTTGCATGCATTATTTTGGTGAGTTGAGTGGATGGAGATACATCTCCCTCACTCATTGTGCACCATTCGGCCCTATCACTAGGAGAGAGCTCTAGGAAGGTCTTCTCATCAAGACCAAGCTCAAAGAAAGCAAGGAGGAAGAGAAATCCAAAAGGGAAAGCTAGGAGAAGGGGTAAGAACACAATTTCTACTCTTTAACTAGTTTTATGGAGTATGATTTTTAAGAAATCATATGGTGGATTAAACATGATATTCTACACGTTTAAAAGTGTAGAATATTGATATAAAATGGTGATATTTAACTTAGAAGAGTTGGTGAATCGATAGGAGTCGAAATCGCCGGAAACCGCCACTTTAAGGGAGCTGCCCGTTTCTGCAGAACACGAAAGCCGCCCGGCTTTCGTGAAAGCCGCCTGGCTTTTGCCCAGCAGTTCAGTTTTACACCTTCAATCGGCCTAGAACGGGGATTGATCGAGGGGCTTAGCAAAGGCAACTATTTCAGCACTTCATAAGGTGAGGATGGCTGACTATGTTGCTTATAATTAATGAGTTAATTTAATGAGATTACCGAAGGTAATTAAATCTGTTTTTTATGGATTATTAATGATTAATAATGCCTAAAAATGAAAAGACTAAATGTCTAGAGAAAAAGGAGCATGATATACAAATTTAAGAATAAATTGTGTATGTTCATGTGTTATGAGTATGTTGACTTGAAAGTGGAATTTATTATGAAACATGTGTTGAAATATACTTTTTTCTTCATATTAGAATGTATGAGTGA